ATTAAACGCTAACTATCGATCGTCAAAAAGTAGAAATTTGCAACTTTTTAGAAATCGTTAATTTTGACAGATGAAACGTTCGGATTTAGTAACATTTCAGTAGCGTTTCGATCCAACGAAGTGTCAAAATTTTAGTGGAATAAGGCCGACGAACGACTCAAGTATATGGACGTAGTTATGCAAACCAGCCACATGATGTCAGTTTTGAGAAAAATGGGTTTCTTGTTTTTAGTAATAATTGTTTGTAGAATATATTTTATTTTATTTATTTATCAAGAAATTTTGTGAATTTACAACATGTGAGTTTAATTGCAACACTTTTAGGCTTCTCTGCACATAATTCGATTTTGACAGATTTGTGGGTTGGTTCCGGTTTGCATAACTACATCTGTATAGTTCTATGTTCGATTGAGCGAGTAGAATACCGTTTACAGTTTCTGTTGATCGATAGTTAGCTAAACTAAAATAGAACCGGAACTGTATCGTTTGACGCCATTTTGACACCGAGTAGAATAGGAAAACCACTAAAAGTTGTAGTTTCGTTCGGTTTCGTTCCGTTTTCGATTCGATTTAAACAAAATTTATTTAGTAGAATTGGCCCCCTGATTGGCCTAAATATCGGTGCTGAGCAAGGCTACTCATCAGCATTCTTAACCTTTTTTTTACCCAGGGAAAATGAGCCCTGCCGCCTGAAGGGCACTCCCTTACTAGGGGCGTGGGCCTATCCACTAAAAAGATAGCATATAATTTGCAAGGACAAGCATCCCCTGACCGTTCTGGTCAGGTTATATTGGGATGTGTCACAGGAATTTTCAAAAGATGTGTGTACAATACAACCAGTTATATTATTGCTAGTATTCAATTATAAACTAGAGTAGAGGAGTCACAAGCACGACACTCTTCTGGGAAGAAGCAGTATTGTTTTTAGGTTTGGCTAAATCATATATATATTGAGCTCTAGTGCGATATCTACGTGTTTCCGCTACTTTCGTGAATAGAAAGCTTACAATTGAATGTGAAGATATCAACTAAAAAAATGTCTAGGAATTGAAATATGTGTTAGAAACTCTCTACAATTGTGGCGAGCAATTCCGTCATCAAATCAATGACTTAAACTAGCATCTTCTATCATATTGAATAACAACCTTTTTATTATTACCATACGGATGGTAAGAAACAAACGTAGGACAGCCCTACCGTCTGCCGCGCCATTGAGTCAGTGACCATTTGCGTTGGGCGCAATTGAAGCTTCCTCTTAGCCGTCTTAATCCCCCCGACCGACGCGCCAACAAATACCTCACTATTTACAAACCTTATGCTCATAGATTTAAGCTTGAAAATGATAGTATGTTTATGTATTGTTTGTCCATCTTTTGCTTGCAAATAGTTGTTATGGATTGTATTTTTAAAACTGAAATACGTCATGTAAACTACAATACAATTTTTATCTTCCTTCTACATGTTATCTTTTCTTTATTATGTAGTTATATTCAAGTTATATTGCAGTTTTCATTTTTCCATTACATAATCTCAAAAATAAATTTGGAAGTACCAAATTATCCAATTTATATTTTAATTGAATACCAATGGTTTTATGTGGCATAACCTTTTTCTTACTAAATTAAAAACTAGATTTTACTCCTTATGTAGGTATTAAGGGGCTCGACGTTATAAAGACACGCATTCGGAACCTACGTCTCCTAATTCTTTACAAAAACACAAGCACACTGTTGCCAATGATCTTATTAAAATCTTTTTAATAGTTTTATATATTTCTTACATTTTTAATATTTTCTTTTGTATGTCATTATAGAAAATATCGTGAGCTCCCAGCTTTTAATTTGAGATATTATTTACAAGAATTTTAAATAACTTTCTGTACATAACATAAGTTATTGCAAGTCAAATATAGCAAAGCAAATTAGATCCACTTCCTGCTTTTCGATTGAGCTAAAATTTAGACTCGTTTGTTTCTCCTGGAAAAGCATTTTGACCCAGATTTTGGTCTGAAATGATGTATTTGAAAAATACTGGTATTTGATGATGAAGCTGGCCATAGTTACTTTGTAATTTTTAAGTAACGCATATTTAAAAAGCTAAACATCCCACATAAGGTTGTCTCTTAACCTGTCACTGAATTCTCACCATAGAGATGGCATACCTTATGCCACAAGAGTGAATATGTTAATAAGCTCTTGATGCTCAATCTGCATCACTATAATCCCAATATCCAGGTAGGCTTTACAATGCATTAGCCACGTTATTTATAAAAGTTATATAAACAAAGAAAGCCAGTATAAAGCCTTTTTAGCTGTTTATTGCCGTCGCTTAAATTTAGTGGACATAAGGCTTGAAAAAAATCCTACTAATAAACATAATACTTTAAGCTCTTTACTTTGATGTGAAAGTGTTATAAACACTCTAATAATAAGTACTATGATAACAAAAATATGTATGTAAACTACTTTTATTACATTAACGATAATTTTATGAGTAATCTGATGGAAATTGGCTACGTTATGATACGGTTGTTACCATGGAAACTATTTCCTATTGTTTTAGTGGTAATTATAATATTGAACTTTAGTAAAAGTATTTTTAAAGTGTTTTATTAAAAAGCACACTAACACTATCCAGTAATACTTTAAAGACTGAATAAGCATCAAGGTTTTAAATCTAGTTAGGTTGATAAGTCTCTATACACAAACATGTCGATTTCTTCTAGTTTTTGAGTTATGAGTTGCTTGCGTCATTAATTTTGTAAATATAGAACTGTATATACTGAAAATTATTATATTTGTTAAAGGATCATTATAGTCATATGAAAAACAATTTCAAGTCATGCCAATGTGAAAACAACAAAATTAATTCACTATATATGACTGTTCTTATTATTTCTCATTTCACAACTAATTAAAAGTAAATCATTGTGTCATCTTATTTTTTTTATATTTGATTTTAATTAATGTTTATTCTGGTAAATTATCATGCATCCACCAAACTACATTTTGTTGGCGCAGTTATAATTTATTTGTAACATTATGTACATATTTTAAATAAATATTTCATATACATATTTATTTACATAGATACACTTATTCAGTGTTATTAATGAACAAGGTTTAGAGTTGCCAAATTCATATTATTAAACAGAGATTTAGCAAAGGTTAACGCAGTTCGAGGTTCTCAAGAGATATATTTACTCCTAGAAGGTAGTAGGTTTGCTTATTCTCTATATGATATGAAATTGGACTAATACTATTTTTTTTTGACGCTGAGAAATGCGTTACGCATACTCGCTTCACCCTGCACGGGATTCGCTAAAACTCAGCGATGTCTTTCGCATGCAGATGGAGCACGGCATGGGTCCCGAAGGGACCATATTCCGGGCAATCCACCCACGTCTTGGCCCACCTCTTGCGAGGTTGTTCCCACCACGGGTTCGGGGAAGACTCAGGAACATTCTAAGAGTTTAACCCCCCAGACAGGACAAAGGGCGTGCAATACCCTGCTGCCCCCCGTCAAAGACCAAGGATGCGCAACTGTGCATCCCTAACCCTTACCCGTCTTATAAGGTGTCAATTCTGCTGTAACACTCAGCAAACCATATGCTAGAAGACATTTTTTTTAATAAATATTCTATTAACATCTGATAAATAATGTAGAAGTAACAGCATGTCTGCGATTTATAGTTTCGGAGAACGGTGCTATGTTTGTGGAATTGCTGCTAGTCGGCCAAAAACCCTCCCTATATATTCAACGTGCTAATTGACGTCACACGGTGCTACGGTAGCGAAAAACATAAGGGCGTCTGAGTTATATTTGTAATATTTGTAAATTTACATTTATAGCTGTTATAATGAATAATTTATAATGAAAGTCGTTAGTTTTATTTAAATGCAATATTTTATGTTTTCAAATAGTAATATTTTCCAAATCCGGGCCATATTCTTTTTATGTTAAATATTCATAAGTTAAAATGGTTAATATTTTCCGAACATAAGAATAACAAAAACCTGTATTTTCACTTGTTGGCTCCCATATACCCTAATACAATGACAGTAAATATTTCTACTCGAGTATAGATACAACTGTGTATTGTTAATAAAACTATTTCGCTAAAAATAGTATTGCAATTTTAAATTTAAATATTTAAAAATATCTGTTTTCCCGCTTAAATTATAGCTTGTGCCTCCTACGTATGATGTAGCTTCTCGTAGTTGAAGGATTTTTTTTTAATTCTATACAAACAAATAAACAAATCTTTTCTCTTTATAATATAAGTATAGATAATATCTTAATATTTATTTTAATATGTAGCAAGAACAAGTTTGGTGCTATAAATCAATCGTTAACTTCCTAGTAAAGTTATGTGTGGTAAGCTTATTCTGTTAAAGAATAGCATCGAATTCATCATCGAACCTATCACCATCACGGTATCATCAAAGGCTCAACGAAATAATCATCATCCCCATCAGCAGTCTGTTAATGACACAACTGCTGGGGCTCAGGCCCTCCCTATGGATGGAATAGAATAGAATCGAACAGGAAAAATGGACCATGACCTATAGGGCTAGTGTGGATTGGTGGAATGTGTGTTTCGAAATGCGATTCGTGATAGTTAATATTTGGTCAGCGATCCTATGATCGGGATCCAACCATATCGCGGATCGATCACGCTAGCTACTGCGCTAAGCTCCTCACGCATCGATCAATGAAATAAAACTGTTATTAACTTTTGAAGTAGGCTTTATTTGATTTGCCAGCTGCGTTCGACTATTAGTTCGACGCTGTTTTATAACAGAATAGCGCTAAACTACGATTATCATAAGAAGCAACGTTTTTATAGAACTTTTTGTCCTCATCACTCAAATAAAAGGTTAACAAAGAGAAATGTAACGTATCTATGAGTAACCAGTGTATCGATAAGGTAGCAAATGATTTTTATGTAGTAAGTTTTCTTGTTACAAAAATTGCTGAATTATAAAAAGAAAACTCACCAATGAGGTCCAATAGGACTTGACCTGGTCATCAGGGAATAAGAATATGTCTAGTAGGGCCCAAGATCCTCTCCATACGAAGACAACCAGCGAACCGACCACAGCCACGGAGAACACGCAGTCCAGAATATAAAATGCAGTCTCTCTGGTACTCTGTAAATAATACATTAAATGTAACAATCGGTCGCTTTTCAGTGAAAGATTACAGCTGTTTTATTACAAAACCTAGTATGGGATATTTTTCTATTGTATTGTTGTAATTATACTGTTCGGCTTTGGAACTCACTACCGGATGCTATTAGAAAGGCTCGCTCTCTGAGATCCTTCGTCGCAGAAGTAAACAACTATTTTCTCTTCCTACCTACATAATTTTTTTTTTTTTTTATTCCTGTCGTTATTGCGCCCGGTTGCAGGAAGGTAAATAATGGGCTTTTGCTCCTTTTTATTTATTTCCCTCCACTATTGATTGTGTTGGAGAAATTTCTGCAAAGGGATATTATACTATAGCCTTTTGTATATTGTTCTTCGATGTTTTTGTTTGTAAGATGACCTGTTTTAGTATATGCAATAAGTATAATTATTATTAATTAGTATCAATCAAATGTAATTTATTAAGAACATTTTTATTGTCTTATATTTAAATTTAGTATTTTATTACTTTATTTCAGAAAAAATATTTTTTATAATACTAAAATTTTTAATGTATCGGCGTAATTTATTGCGCAAAAATTAAAAAAATACGTGTTCAATGTTTTTCATTTATCTACCTGACGGATATAAAAAAATGGGGATCTACTGTCAATTTTATTTACTGAATTTCACATAAATTTCAAACAATCATAAAGAACCGGCCTGTAACAATAAAATCTTAAACAAAATCAAACTCAATAGTTGAATTAAGACAATTCTACGACCGATACATATTACTAAAATAAGAAAGCAAGTTTCAACAGGTAGCAATTTATGAACATTTTCAAACTATTCTTAATAAAATATGTTTAAAAAATCAACTTTCCTCCAGTTGCACAAACGATCATTAAAATTGTCATTAGTTTAAAGTGACATTACCGATACAAATTTGACATTCATTAGGGTTTAAAGGCTTCATTTAACCTTGATGAGATGGTACAAACTGGATTTTTAAGCATATTTCATTAAGAATATTTTCCAGTGTAGCATTGTGAATGCAAAATGGATCAAATATAATACTTTATTTCTGAACAAAATTGCTTACAATCATGTGTTTTATTATGTGAGATAACTTATAATGAACGAACGAACGAACGAACAAAATAATTACGATTATTTTACAAGTACACTGTATTGTCTTTGGCTACAAAGTGGCTTATGTATGTCTCAATTTTTCCTATAAAAATAATTAGGAGTAGAAATGGATGTTTTGGGGATAACTTAAAGATATTTTTCTATAGAGAAAATTTTATAAATTTGCGTTTTCATTGTGTCATAATCTTACGTATTTTTCTTGTTTTTAATCACAGCTTTTTTGAACGTTATTTCTTTAAAGAAGACCAATTGAAAGTTAGTGATTTTTGGTATACACTAGGGTTGCTAATGCCTATATAATAAATTAAGATTTAAAGTTAGAAAATCCTGGTCGATACAGTTTATAAATCGGACGCAGTAATATAGTTACAAGTAATTTATCACACTGATGAATTCTGGAAAATGTCAGTTACATAAATAATATTTAAAAAGATATTACTGCATTTCCAATGGAACTCTTTAGCAGTAGAATAAAATTTGTTTAATCCGACTGTCAATTGTTTTCTCATTGTAGCGTCATTTTGAAAATTGCGTGATTATAATAAAATATTTTATATTGCGTATTGCGTATTTTGTATTGCGTAATTTGACTGACAATAAAATCTTAAATTCAAAATTTTAACTGCTCGATGTTTTAACGCATATTTATTATATATAATTTAATCCCATTTTCTTTTGTTTTATATAAAGTAATAGCAATTAAACTTGAATTAGTTTAGATTAAAAATAAAAATATAATATTTTTGTTCAGACCTTACAGAGAAATCCAAGATTATTAGGTGATTTGAAAAAAGGATGAGCTAGGAAACCTGGTGGGATGAATAAGGAATTTAAAATGAAATAAATTGGTGCGAGTTGAATAAGGAACATAAATAGTATGAGTAAGGGAAAATTATTGCGTAGGATGAGATGTTATAGGATAACGGAACATCGCAACATAAGATTGCATATCTTGCTTATAAAGCGGCGCGTGAATTGTTTTAAAATGTTATTTTATTATCACACATACAAAAGAGAAAACGTTGCTTGTAAACTATCCAGGACATCCACAAAAAACATCATGACATTTTTTGAAAAAATAGGAAGCTTGAACTGAATACTCCTTTTTGTACTTTTTTGCTACAAATCAAAAAGTTATAAGTCAAAGTCCAAATAATCTTTATTCAAATATGTTTCTTAAAAGTACTTTTGTGCATTTTTTTCCCTACCACTCGTTCAGGACGTCTTTCGGCTGATAAGAAGAACAAGCAAGAAACTCATTAGCTCTAATGGGAGTAATGACATTCATAAAAACCATATCATTACCAGATAAATACATTATAAAAGAAAATGAAACTATTCAGCTCATTTCCAATAAAAAAAAATTAACAAACAAAAACTACAATTATGACTTTAATCAAAGCTTAAAGAAAGATTTGATTCCATGATTATTTCAGCTACGAGAAGCTACATCATCCGAAGTCGCAGGACACAGCTAGTAAATTAATAAACCCACAAACTAATTTCACTTCTGGGTTGACATGTATCTATTATGACTATTTAACGTACTTAAATTCAAATTATCACCAAACTTTCCAAACTTAATGAATCATCACCAAAACTTTTATGCTACGAAATTACATCGTTTGCTACGACGCTACGTAGCTACGTGGATGTACTTTGATAAGGCATTTTTTTTGTAACGATACGTTGGAAAGAGAGAGAACGGAAATGTTTACGTTTTTTCTTGTTAGAAATAAGAAAACAGCGCAGTTTGCAGGAAACTGTGATAATTTAGAGAATGTTAGTAGGAAGTAACAGTAAGTTCTAAGATATACTCATTACGCTCTACTGAAAAAAGTCTCATCTCAGAATGCCAGGGCTAATGTAGATTTTTAAGGATTTTTCATTAAGAAAAATTGTTATGTTAGCGATTACTGCAATATTGGTAAATAGGCATAATACACAAGTAGTTTGGCCAATAAAGAAATACTGATAGCGAATACACTGTTATTGCCTGACATAGAAGAAATTGATTTATTAGAATATAAATCAAAAGTGTATACGCATGGGACGACATAATACATAACACACTCTTCTAACTAAAACTTTTAAAATTGAAATATAAGATTCTCGATAACTACAAAGACGTATAATAAATTCAAAATTTTAACTGCTCAACCAATTAACTCCGTTTTCCATCGTAAAAAAAGTGATCCAAAAAATCATTGTACCTTTTGGGAATAAATAGTTGCTAACAAAAATAGTTCACCAAAATCGGACCACTATCGAGAAGACGGAGTAAAACATACATGCATATATATACATTAATTTGTTCTTTTTCCAAATTAGGTTTATATTTTTTCAATAAATCACACGAATTAGTGATCAAACCGAAGTAACCAATCATTGAATAGTATACCTAAAATGGAATATTAAAATAACTTGTTTCTAAATGGTTCTTTAGAGAAAAATACACATTTTATACTTTGTAATAAGTTCCCGTTCCCGTATCTGTGATTCGTTCGCGAATTTCCTACACTTATTGATAAATTTACACATTCTAACTTCATGGCAAAAATTTAAGGAATTTACATATTAGCGATTATTATGCTATATTATGTTACTTTCTTCTATTTATTTATACTTTATTTACATATATTTGATCGCGACTTTGTGGTTGGAAAAACTCAAAACTACTGGGCCAATATAAGTTCACATAATCAGCAAATAAAAAGACAATATTTTATTTTAAATTAAATACAATAGGTATACCAATAACATATAAAAAAGCGAAATGTAAAAACATTCAATTATAGCTGATATCTATTATCGTTATACTAGCACCAAACATATATTCATCCAGGGGATATAAAACACGATTTCAATATATTTTGAGCTTCATCTTACTCTATCCTTATCTATGACATAAAAAAACGCAGGACAGAAAACAGAATAGTCTATCATAGATACATCGAATGTCGATTTTATGAGTATAGGGCCTGAGTATGTAGGTAGAAATCAAATATAACTCTTCATTAGGCTTATGAAAGGAAAAGGTCACGAACAAACAAACAAACAACCAATTTATAGTACTACTGAAATTATGAATTAGATACATGAGCACAACTTGAGAAATGAATGGTGAATAGAAATCTCTACTAATATTATAAATACGAAAGCAACTCTGTGTATCTGTGACGTTTTCACGTCTATGCTATTGTTATTGAAAGGTGGAGAGTGGAAAAATACATAGGGTAGTTCTCATCGCAAAAATAGGCTAAAAAAGGTTAAAATAAGGGATGAAAATTTGTGTTATAAATTATTATAAGGTGTTGTCATCGTGGAAGATAAAACATGAAATTGTGTATCTATGCACTGGATGGGAAGTAAATAAATAATGTATTAGAGTTTTGACATTTCCAATTACACGGAGGCTAAGCCGCAGATAGAAAACTAGTATTTATAGAATGCGAGACATTGAATAAATTTCACTTTTGCAAATAAGGCAAAGGGAAGAAAAATGGTTGAGCCTAAGTTGATCAGACATCGATTGTATGTAATATGTTAGCTATATCTTATAGCAAACTGTTTGATATACCTTCAATTTTAAGACTATTCTATTATGATTTAAGATTACTCGAAAATGAAATGCCTATTATGGTTTGATTAAGTACCTTAATAATTAAATCACAGAAGGAAACGAGTAAGAAGGTTCTATAAAATCCATTATTCGTTTAAAATTCTACATTTGGAACCAGCATCTGTCAGTGACAGACAGAGTATATGTTATATCGTCTACCTACCGTACGGAACATAGTCGGCACATAGAAAAAGTCCTGCGGCGAATCAACCGCTACTGCGAATGGCACGGCACAGATGTTGCGCAACGCTCTCAGCGCAGCCAGCGACAGCGTCGCAGCCGCGGTGGTGGACAGTAACGTGCGCGCGCTGTCTCCAGTACACTCGTTAAACAAGTTCCAAGCGCCCCGCCAACCCCCGACGCACGCCACCCCAGCCAAACATGAGCACGACCTCGACAGCACGTAGTAAGTCAACCGTCCTTTATCCGGGCTCAAATGCTTGCTCAGTTGCGTTTGGAACACGCACATAAAGAAGTCCACGCAGAAACCGAACGTGACGCACGCAGCCGCGCTCGCCACCGGACTCTCCGGCAATACATACAGGTCCATCAGCGACCATGTCGACTTCCAGTAGGCGACCACCGCGGGCGCCACAACCACGCTCGCGAATATCACGTCCACGCATTCGAGGAGTGCGGTGTATGCTCGCGAACCACTTGCGAGCGTATCAGCGAGCCCCGCTGTGCTCCCGCGCATGTCTGCTGTATGAGTGAGGTCCCGCCCGCCTCTACGCTACTGTACGAGATTAAAACATGTAATTGCATTATCACTGCGTCTCGCGGTGACGTCGGACCGCGTTGCTGTTTGCCGTGCGATACCTTGGGCAGCGATAAGAACTCGCTTCTATTAAAGGTTTATGATGTCTGTTAAGCCGCAGGACGGCACTTGCTTAGAAGGTCTTTAATCAGAAGGGATTCTTATTGGAATGAAACTAGCAGAAGAAAATTTATTCAACAGGTTACTGATCTAATAAGACAAAAGAAAGAAAAACATTTATATATCGACTCTAGTTAATTTTAACTACCTACTACTCCATTTTACTATCCTGTACTACATAAATCAGTGATCAATAATAAACATAATTAAGCTGAAAATTTGTAACTGAAAAAGGTATAATCCCATTAGAAGGCAGTGCGCAGGTTAGTTGTGCGGGGTCGAAGCGCACTTGACCTGCGCTCCAGTTTTGCGTATTCGAGCACGCTTGGAAGCATACGTAGGGTTGGCAAATAACCATCAAACACCAAATAAATTGCTGTAAATCGCTGAAACACATAATAAACTAAACCATTTAGATCCGATATATTTCAAAAAGCGTCATTCAACAATCTGAAAACCGAATACGGAAAACCGTCAATAAGCAGAAAAAAATATTATAATCCGAGCAGTAATATATTGCAGTACTATTCTGAAACGAATACAAGAGATTTATTCACTAGATTTCTACTACAAACAAAAATTTCAATAATAACAAGTACAATCTACTAACAATGTAAAGGTGGATTAATTAAGATATAGAGTTACAAATGAAAATGCAGTAAACGTAACGATTTACTTTACTGAAATCGTACATTCCCCAATGTGGTCTTGCACGAAGACAACATTGGTGAAAAAGGATAAAGACGTTTTGATACTTGCGATATTTTAATAAATTAAAAACTTTTCAATAAATGCCTTATAGCATTGAAAAAACTTCTGCCCGAATTCCGATAACTGCCAATTTTCACAACAAATATACGAATGTACTCTCTATATTAGAAATATCCAACGACCCAACAGGAAAACCCAATAATATTTTAGCTGACCCGGAATATAAAACGTATAAATAAAAGAAGCTTTTACACATCTAAATAAAATCCGGTTTAAATTATTTTCTTCTTTTCACCGTTCCTATTTTTCCCCGGCAAAAAAAGTCCTCATATTTTTTACTTCACTAATAATTCGTTTCATTGTAGTTGTCGACACGCCGACGAGTATTTATTATTTGATTGTTTAGAAAAAAAATTGTATCAAGACTAGTCATTGCTAGTTACCGGTCAATCCATAAACACACTAAAATTCACAAAAAAAAATCTTTGATCTTCAGTTTCTTTTCACAAATTTTGCTATATATAAAAACAATATTTCTAGCTTGAGATATCAATGGTTATTTGGGACTTCGCACAAAATAAATTAATGTTTTCACAAATATTCACAAGAATTTACACTTTAATATGACACTTATCAATAGTTAACAATTAATATTGCCATATGAAAATCGAGATTGTTTCTTGCCCATGATCGTAGTTGTTGAGCGACATTTGCTTTTGTGCCATCAGATTCTAGTACATCCATACTTTTGTCCATTTTCTGATACTATATGCATACTGCACAGCACAAAACAGGATGTATAACACATATTAATTAATCGATGTTAATATATTTTTGTATGATTTATTGTTGTGAGATGACATAGACACATGATTTTATGTAAATCAATTACAAAGGTCTAAATCTGATATGGTAATGTTCATACCAGCCAAAAATCGCTTAAAAAGTGATTTCAATAAGCTGTGAAATCAAATTCGGAGATATAGAATAGTTCGGTGTATGGTTATATCTGCCAACAGTCTTAAAATTCGCATGAATATCAATTTATTAATTTTTGAGTTGATTGCGTAACCAGTCATATCTGGCCTCTTAACATTGAAATTCGATATATCTTGGACTAATTATTCGTCTGTCCTGCTCTACCATACATATTTTTAATGTCGCAAAGTAGTAGCACGATGAAGTAGTCGATTTATCGAAAATTTGTTTTCAGTGTACAACCTCAGTCCACTTGTTGAGTTGAAACAGACCGATATGGCTGGGGAATATTGTTTTTTAATATTCGTACCGTTGTGATTTAATTTTGTTAAATAAAGAGTAAAGAGACTAAACATTAGCTCGGTGGCGTGTTGGATCGTAGTTGTTAAGAGCCTTCTCAAGAGTCATTAATGCACGACAAATCTCGAGCTACTCCGTGCGTCGGAAGGCACGTAAGTCTCTAATACCTTCCAATTTGCATTGGGCCAGCTTGGTTATGGCCCATCCTTCTCAACCATCCATAAAGATGGCCCCAGCCTTTGCAGTGGGGGCATAAAATAATAATAATAATAATAATAAAATACTTTATTGCACTCAATATGATACATAGTTTACAAAAAAGCTTAATATCTAAGAGATTGAGTAAACAAATGGCGGCCTTATTGCTAAACAGCAATTTCTTCCAGGCAACCTAAGGTGAAAATGGATAAAAAATAAAGATACTATGGGGAGTGGGTGCAATATAGAGAAGGATAAATAAATAAATAGCGTTAATATATTATAATAAACAAAAAAAATAAATGTATACATATGAAATGAATTAAACAGTTTAATAGTGAAAGAATAATATGAAAATAGTTTTAAGATGTGGAAAGGAAATAATTTCTAACTTCATCGCTAAAGGATCCCAATGATCGAGCCCTCCTGATACCCTCTGGAAGAGAATTCCACAGACGCACAGCATGCACAGCAAAAGAATAAGAATAGAAATCTGTATAGTGACGAGGGATTTCGAGAGTGAGGTTTGAAGAGGAACGTAATGTACATTGTGATGAAGAGGAGCGAAAAGAGAATGATTGTTTAAGATATGGTGGAGATGATGGGAGGAAAAGTATAGAGTAAAGAACCGTGAGAGTATGCAAGTCCCTGCGTCGGCGAATAGGAAGCCAATTTAACTTTGAACGGTAATACGACACATGGTCATATTTTCGAAGATTGAAAATAAATCTAATGCATACATTCTGCAGACGCTCTAGTTTGGTGAGAAGTTCTTCTGAGAGATCTGTATAGCACACATCAGCGTAGTCGATAATAGACAACATTAGGGAATGTGCCAAAGTGATTTTGGTACTGATCGGCAAAAAATTACGCAGACGACTCAGTGAACCATACGCAGCAAACACCCTCTTTCTGACTGATTCCACCTGAGGCTTCCAAGAAAACTGTTGGTCAAAAATAACTCCAAGGTTTCTGACTGTTTCGGAATAAGGGATAACAGTACCGTCGAAAATGATAGAAGGCAGCTCACTAAAGTCGATCCGGGAAACGAAATGACGACTGCCTATTACTATAGTTTGAGTTTTAGATGGATTAACTATTAGACCGTATGATTTACTCCAGGCACTGATAAGTGACAGATTAGAATTAGTAACCAAAACAGCCCTCGAGAGGCTAGTTAACGGTGCCTGAGTATAGATCTGGAGGTCATCAGCGTAAAGGTGATAGGAACATGAAAGAGACTGTGTGATGGAATTTATAAAAATAGAAAAAAGCAGAGGAGATAAGACGCCACCCTGAGGAACACCGGCATCAATATCACACCACGCAGACACTGTATCGTCAACACGAATACGTTGCCGGCGCCCTAGCGGGTAACTTCGAAACCAATCAATTGCAGCCGGAGATATATTAATAGAAGCCATGACACCGAGAAAAATGTCAAAATCAACGGAGTTGAAGGCGTTACTAAAATCAAGTAACGTTAACAGCGTGAGCTGTTTGTTCTCCATACCCCATCTAATATCATCGGTAATCTTAATCAGCGCAGTAGTAGTGCTATGGCCCGAACGGAAACCAGACTGTAAAGGATTGAGGATTTGGTTGGAAGTAAGGAAAGCAGTAAGCTGCTGAGAGACAAGTTTCCCAAGAACTTTGGAAAGAAAAGGAAGAATAGAAATAGGACGATATTCGGAGAATTCGGTAGGGTTTGATTTTTGAGTTGAAAAACCTAAACCTTTCTAAAATGACATTTTAGAAAGGTTTAACTTTGAATATGTTTGGTAATTACTATAAGTAAACACATAATTTACCATATCATTAGAGTAATTAATAATAATTAGAGTGAATAAATCTATTTTATATTATAAAATTACAATATTAGATAACCCCGTGAACTTAATGCCACCGTTTTTCAGCTTTATAAAATCAGTCTAATGGTTGAAAACATAATGTTGTGACGGGTTCGATGCTAAGGCAAATGCATAAAAGGCTAATTAAGCTTGAGAACTTGATTTAATTAAAAAAATTAAACCTTTTTTCCATTTGGTGAGTAATTTAACTATATTCCATTTGATTTGATATAGTATACATTTTTTTACAAAAAGTGCTACCGATTGATTGAAAAATCATAAATTATGTGTGACGGTATTTATGGACGGCCCCTTACAATGTTTTGCGAATATTATATTCTAAGGAGTTTATTTGAATATATCATATAAATAAAATATACGTTTCCATTGTTTCATTGGACGGCCCTATGCACGACAACGGTTTGAAATTTCACATCCTGCACGCCGTCCGCTAAACAGACATCCAATCACGCAGCTAAATGCGGCTACTATGCAGCGTACGTACTATAGATACTCATATTACTCAAAACAAAGGAGAAAAATCTAAACTTATATTATGTGTGGGAAAGATTTTTAATTGTGCTATGGAATGGACTGGACATATGGTCCATATATTATTTCATCACAAAATATTTCATTAAATACTATACCTATGTGTTAACGATGATATTCTTTCTTGATAAATGGTATATACTAGCTTTTGCCCGCAACTTCACCCGTGTTACTTTGGGCAGCATTTCTAAATCAAATTCAATATCGTGTAAAGTACTTTGACATTGACGAACTTTCGTAAAAACTTTAATTTTATTTCAACCCTTTTATTACAATAAAAAGCAACC